AGAGGACTGTCCTTCCCTCACTCCATTCTCCCCTTGCCTGTCACCGATTTCAGACCGGTCGTCGATCCTATCAGGGGTCCATAAAGCTGGAAGGACTCTGGCCCGGGAGAGGGGGGTAGGGGTTAGGCAAACAGGCCAGGGAGGCAGTTGGTTGAAATTTAACCACAATATTCTCAGTCTCTATTGTTTTGAGTGAGGCCCAATATTTCCACAGCAGGATTATAGGATCTGATTAACCATGTTAGACAACAATGCTGAGCTGGGATGGGCTTCCCCTTCCAGCTGCCAATATGAAAAAGTAAGCAGAACACCCAGATTTCAGAAGGGACTCCCAGCAGCCCCAAGCCCGACTCCCCACTTCCAGCCTCACAGCTGTTTGGGCCCCAAAGTCCGAGAAGGAAGAGTGTAGCATTGTATGCTCCTTTAACTACTGGCCCTTGGCCCAGCAGGACAAGTAATCCTGGCACAATCTTCCCAGGTGAGTCAATGGCAGTGTGCTCCCCACACCCTGGAGTTCTTTCAATGCCTCTTCCGGGTTCCCCTGGTAGGCTGGTCCAGATTGTCAGGAATCTATGAGAGTTGAGTGCCCAGAGGCCAGCGCTCATTCAAAGGGGTCCAAGGGTGTGGAAGGTGGCAAAAGATCTGTTGGGCTCCAGATAGAAAAACAGGAGGTGGGACTTACCAGCTCAAGAGAGCAATTGAGCATTTACTAGCATACTCTGGTTCTACATAATGGCATCCATGTGCCAGGGTAGAGAAATGCGAGCTCAGAACTAAGGGGATGCAAAAGGACCACCATAGAGTCTCAAAAGATGAAAAAACATTCCACCAAATGTTCTGAGATGAAAGGACAGATGGCCTCCCAGCTTCTGAAATAGAGAGGGGTTCCCCACAGACCCTGTCCCTCACACAGACAAGCTACCAGTACCCTTCCCATGCTGGATGCTTCCTCTCGGGATGGGGTCTTCAGGGGACCTGGCTAGGAGAACAAGGAGGGGATCTAGAGCAACAAGGAGCCCTGGACAAGAGAATGCAGTAGGGGCTTCCTGAGAGTCACAGCTACTAGTGACCCCCCAACATCTGGGCTCCCTCCTCCTGTGCATATCTAAGGGCCTAGGATAGTCCATTATACTTTGCCAGCCCATGCACTTATGGATGTTGGTAACAGGGGTTAACAACCACTGTTCTTTTTTTTTTTAGTACCGGGATGGAACTCGGGTTCTTGTGCTTGCGCAGCAGGCAGCGAAACCACTGAGCTAAATCCCCGGCCCCGCAATCACCGTTCTTGAGCTGTTTGATGGCTTCCTTGTAGTATGTCACTCGTTTTGAAAGTTTCTTCAGGAAAATTAAAGCACAAATTTCTCCAGGGCAAAGCTTAGAAAAACATATTTGAGGTCACATAAAATTGTTATCACAGTGGTGACATTTTCTAATTTAGGGTTAAAAACTGACCCTCTTTTCATGGAGTATAACCTCATGAAAGGAAGAAAACAAAAAAACACAGAGGAAGTGTATCTATTAACAGAGACTACGTTAATAGCACAATGTCAAAAAGTAAGAAAACAGATAAGGTAAGCTCAGGAGGGTTGTTATGGAGGATTCAGGTTTGCCTTATACTCTTTGGAGCAGATCTTCCTTGTTTTGTAAGTAGATAACGAGGGGCAAAACAGATGGAAGGAAGAAACTGACCCTGGTGACAAAATCAGCAATGGAAGCAAATCCAGGACTAGAGAGGTACAGCTTCTCACATCACCCAAAGGGGCTCCTGTGTGTCTCCCAAGAGGCCTGGGCTAGGGAAATGGTTTGGAAATGGGAGATTTAAAAGAACAGCAAAGAAAGGAGTCCACATTACCCCAGGATAAAAACAAGAAGCAGTAGGGCTGAGGGGGCGGGGGGTGGGGTGCATTTCTCCTGTCCCCAGGCCCGCTGTCCATGCCCTGCAGCAGCCTTGGAAGGATCTTGGTCCGACCAAGCTCGACTGCCAGTCCAGAGCACAGGAGCACAGACCTGTCCTCGCCACTGAATGCTCTAGGAATTCCAGAGCCAGCACCTTGAAGTCCGTGTATGCCTTGATCAGGGACACTGGTGACAGGGGAAACGAATGGCTCTGGAGGGATTTTCCACAACCCAACTTGGGCTCTGCTTTTAAGCACTGCTGGAAAAGCATCCTGTAAGGCATGAGATAAGAAGGTGCTACCCAACTGGAGTTCGGAGGTGAGGATTTCTCTCCCAGCAAAGAGCCATGGTCCCAGCTGGCTGCCCCATCTCAGCTGACTGCTAGGGGACCAACCAGCAAGGCCAAGTAGGCCTTGCAACCTAGGTGGCGCTATTTCTCTACTTTTTGGTTAAATTACTGCAGGGACTTCCTCGAGGTCCCAAGTCCTGCTCCTGGTTTGCTGGCTTGCTCGTGTAAACCACCTTATATTTTTTTTTCTAAAAATACTCCAAAGCAATTGAAAGAGTCCCTTCTCCCACCAGCCAGCCCTGGCCCCAGCCCCGGCCCCGGGGAGCGGGTGGGTAGGCGGGGAGGTGGGCCACTGCTTTATTAAACACAGGGAAAACTAATATTTACGGAATAAAATTTATGGAGCAGCCACGAGAATTCGACCCTTTTATGGCATGTGGAGTGGGGGTTGGGCTAGGCTGGGGGCCTCCGGGAGGGGCCCAAGCCAGGGAGCAGGGCTGGAATACAGCCTGGTTAGGCCAAATTGTCAAAGCGGGGATTTCCCTGGAGTTGCCTTGGGATGAATGATTCTGAACCACCACCCCTAGCTTTGGGGTGAAGGCTTCAGGGCAAGAATGCCTGAGGCAGGGCCTCTGGCGGAGATATTTCCCTAGGATGTATTTAAGCGATACCCCACAGAGGGAGCAACCTTGGGGATACAGGCAGCAGAGGACAGGAAGGTTACTAGTTATAGTCTTACTTAATACCCTCACCCCCCCACACACCACCCAGTACTAGGGATTGAACCCAGGGCCTTCAAACCCAGCTATGTCCCCAGTCCTTTTTTGTATTTATTATTTTAAGATGGTCTCAACTAAGTCACTTAAGTTGCCTAGGCTGGGCTTGAATTTGCAATCTTCCTGCCTCAGCCTCCCAAAGTGCTGGAATTACAGGCATGTGCTACTACACCCAGTTTATTATTAATCTTTAGAAAAAGTCACACAATCTTATGAGAACATGAACAAAGTTATGCTGTTAGGATTTTCCTTATCGTTTTAGAGGATCCACAGGCCCCTAGTTTCTGATGAAAAATTCCTGCTTGAGGCTAGGCTCTGGGGGTGGAAAGGTTACCCAAAGAACTCCACTTTCTTCAAGCTTGATGGGGAAGCTTTTGTGTTTTCTATGTGGTCCCATGGTGTGTAGCTTGAAATCTGGCTATCTAAATTCTGCCAAAAAGAAAGTGAAGGACAAAGGGTGCCAGCCAGTGGACTGTTTTCACACAGTTCCCACTTCTCCTTGATGACAGTCACTCTCACCAGATGCAGCCAGGACACTGTGCTCTGCAGGTAAAAAGAGGTCAGCAGTACCAGGGATGAGCCCTGGCAGTGTCCTCTGGCAGGAAAAGGCAAGGCAGTGAGCCCTAGAGTCCTGGAGGATTCCTGCCTGGAAGAGCCCTCAGGGAGGAGAACAGCTACTGAGAGGAGCCAGGATCATGGGATAAAGGTGGGTGCCATGGAAGATTAGAAGAGAATCCAACTGTTTGATAATGTATACAATCATGCTTTTCACAAGTCCTTTGTCTGGGTTCAAATTCTGGCTGTCACTTACTGGCTGAGTGACCTTTGATAAGTCACTCGAACACCTGGACGATTTCTTAGTGGGCTAACAGTAGCTTCCTCAGACAATGCTGTGGGATTCAATATTAGGCACTTATTAGATAGGCTACCTGATACGAATTGTTCATTAACCAGAGTGGTTTATTACTGTTGTTCTATTTTTGGTGGTGTTTTTCTTATTTTCCCATCCCTCCCTTTCCCTCCTCCTTTCAATGCTGGAGATTGAATCCAGGGCCACATGCATTGTAGGCAAGCCTCTCCCACTGAGCTACACCTTCAGCCCCTTTTTGTTAAAATTTTTGAGACAGGGTCTCACCAAGTTGCCCAGGCTGCCCTTTTTGCCATCTTTCTGCCTCAGCCTCCCAAGTAGCTGGGATTAGAGGTGTGGTACTGCGTCCAGATACTGTTGTTCTAATCATAACAATCAGTATTTTGTTATTTCTTGGATGGTCCTCTCCCTGTGGCCTGACATCAGTTCAGAAACACCAGACCCAGCTAGGGAGGACACAGTGACGAGGAGGCCACAAAAAGCAAACACACTGGAAACATTCTCTGCATTCTGCTCCTGACTCCTTCCTCTACCTACCAGTTCCCAGTGAATACCTGGGTTCTATTTACATTCTGATCCTTCCAAGATAAAGTTTTTGATGGTCTTACTACAGAGGAAGATCTGGCAGAGACTGAGGGACTATGACAGTTCTGGTGTGCCCAAGAGGTGACCATCTCTAATTCTGCCCTTTTCTTTTTTCCTGCTAGGCACGAATATTTAGTTCTGTAGGCCAACTCTGTGTCCCAGGAACTCAAGGGGTCATTTCCTGTTCCCTGTCACCCTAGTTCTACTTCCTACATTATCTGAAGTGGAGTAGAAAATGAGAAAGTCAAATTCCTTTTTCTGCCACCCAAGGAAATCTACCTTGGCCCTAATGCTCAAAGCTCTTTGTCATTTTGATCCCAGACTATAACCACCCTGTTGTCTATGCCTTGAAGCAAACGGAAAACACACCCGAGTTTGGCAAAAAAGAGCAGTAGTCTGTCTTGTGCCACCATGGAGGAGTTCTTGAGATCAAAGTTTCTGAAGCTGTGGCTCATGCCACAGCAGAGAAGCCTAAGGAGAGCCTGAAGGACTGGAGCATGGGCTCAGACTTCACCCAGGGAAAACAACAGGACTCAATGAGATGAGGTGGTAATGAGTTCCACAGATAAATAATCTCAAAAGCAGGGGACTGGAAGTGATTTTATTCTATGCCAAGAGAGAAGCAGGTCTCTGAGAAGGGTCTGGGACTGACTAGGGAGTCTGGAGAAAGGTAGACAAGGTTTCCTAAGCATGTTGTACTCTTGGCAGATTGGCTATATATACCAAAGTCCAAGGTAGGGTCCTGGGTCTGAAGAACCTCCACCAAAAGAGAGAAAAGTATGGGACTCCCAGAGACTAGCTGCCACTCAATCAGGGAAGACCAGTGCCCAGTGGGCTTGAACCAGGCTTCCTTTGGTTAACAGTCCCATTCAGGTGGCCTGTCAACACGAACTTTGTCCTCTTGCCCGACAGTGGCCTCTGACTGTAAGTCTGTCTGAGGCACACTCTGCCATGGAGCTCCTTTCCCAGTGATGCTTGGAAGCTATTCTCCTGGTCTATCCCAGAAGCTGAGACCATGACAGGCTAGCTGAAGAGCCCCCTCGGCTTCTTCCTCTTGGCCTTTGACAGCTGAGGTCTCTGCATGAGGCCTGCAGTGCCCTAGGAAAAAAGGAACCCAAGTTAACAGAGGCTTTGAAATGGACCCACTTAACAGTAGGGAAGGAACTTTCTTCCTCTCAGGCTCTTGGCTAGGATGAGGTCATGAAGTATCTGACACAGATGTTTTGAAGTTTATGTCAGGGAGTAAGTTTGATGTAAGACTCCAAAACAAGAGATGCACATACATGTGCCTTCTCCCCTAAGGAACAACCTCACAGGCCTTCACTGAAACTGGGATAAGATGAAAAGGGACTCAAGGTTCATCATTCAGTATAAGAATGGCAGAGAGGAGACAGCAACCAAATAATATATGAAAGACCGGGACCCCCCAAATTTGGAAGTTTTTGTTCACAAATATCTGTCAGTATTGCTGAGGCAGTGTCAACTGAGCAGCAACTTCAGGGACCACTGGCTGGGGGATTATAGGTGCTGACTCCTCCCATGCTCAGCACACTGTCCAGGAAGCTGCTCGTGACTCACAGTGGGCTCTTTCTCAGGCGCTGAGGAGGATGCTTCTGAGGAGACTGGTTGTTCTGGCTGGCTCAGAAGTTGGCCATCAGTTCCTCCAGGGGAGGCACTGCTTGAGGTCTGAGGATCTCCTGAGATGGAAAAGGTCAAGAGAAGACTATGAGAAATGTCTTCTTACCAGGAAGACATTAGCATTTACCAGGCATTCAGATACAGGCCAGAGCGCAGTACTAATAAATGAACAGACAGAAGCAGCCACAAACCCCACTTTGAACTGATATTAAGAAAGCCTTGTTTCTGTCCAGATACCTCAGGCCAGCTCTCAGCAGAGAGATCCTTTGACTCAAAGAGCCTCTCTACATGGTCCCAAATGCCTCTCAGTAGGGAGATGGGTTTTTCCGCCGGGCATCCGTCCTCCCTACTCAAGGAAGCTAGTCATTGGGGTCCCCTAGGCCAGTGCCATCTAGAAGAACTTCTGGAATAAGAGAAGTATCCTGTGTCTTCACTGACCATCTTGGTAGCCACTAGCCACATATGGCTACAAAGCCCTTGAAATGTGACTACAGTATATGAGGAAATGGATTTCTAATTTTAGAATGAAATTATTTTGTATTAATTTAAATTTAAATAGCCTCATGTGGCTAGAGCTACCATATAGGACAGCACAAACACAGGTATTAACCCCAGGCAGATCAGGTATGTCTGGAGTTCCTCACCAGCCCCTTGACGCTTCTGTCTCACTTGGAGCTCCTGTTTGGTGACTGCCACATACAGACTCTGCAGATTCATGACAAAGGGCCTTCCATCACTGACATCGCATGCCTCTGGTAGTTTCTACAAAGGAGAGGAGATACTGTCATTGGTTATACTGTCTGGCCAGAGAAAAGGGATCTTATATCTCACTGGCAGAACTGGCATCAACCCTAAACAAATTTACCTAAAAGTAGTTAACTTCACTGTGAAGCCTGCTAGGACCACCATAAAGACCTCTTGGAGGGCCGGGGGTTTAGCTCAGTGGTTCCAGCGCCTGCCTCACAAGCGCAAGGTCCCAAGTTCAATCCCCGGTACCAAAAAAAAAAGACCTCTTGGAAAGCCTCTGAACCGCAACTCCAAATGTGTGCTTCTATATCCTCCAATCCTTAAGTCCCTTATGTTTTCCCATGAATGTTCTAAGATCTCTAGGTTCTTTCTTCCAAATAGATGTGGTTTCAGAGGCCTGTTTTAGAAAAGCTATTGTCCCTACGTTGTCCCTGAGCTGTACAGATTACTATTTTAACTAATTTTACTCCTAAACTTCCACAGATGGGAAAGAAGGTTGACAAAGATTCTGAGGTCTTCCTGTCTACTGTAATTCTATTGTGCTTTACTATATGATCAATGTACCCTCAATGGGGTGATATTTCCCCAAAATGGGTGAAAATTGGTTTCTCAGGGTAAAAAGAAGCTACTTTTTATTTATTTTTTTTAAGAAGCTACTTTTAAAAAGTATAATACATAGATATACATATGATACATAAACAGAATTTTTTGTGTTTTTGTATCATTATAATTTCCTGAGGGATTGATTAGGAAAAATTGTCTTTAAAAGTTTCTTAGGGGGCTGGGGATTTAGCTCAGTAGTTTCGCCGCCTGCTGCGCAAGCACAAGGACCCAAGTTCGATCTCCGGTACCAAAAAAAAAAAAAAGTTTCTTAGGGAGCTGAGAGTGAAAAACAGAAACACTGCTATAATTACATCACTATGGAATGAACTGTGGGTTTATATCCACACCAAAATACTTTGCCTCATTCTAGTTCCATGTATTTGGCTGAACTGAGCTGAAGTAATGGGAGAAGACTGAACAAAGTACAATAAAAATGAAATGAAAGAGTGTAGTATCCAAACCTGGTTGCACTTCAAAATCTTGGAATGGGCCCAGAACTATTTCATCTGTCCCTATGCATGCCAATCATCATGCTTCCCTGCCAAGTTAGCAGGTCCCCATGAGCAGCTATGTCAGCAACTCACAAGGGAACCAACCCAAGAACCCTTGGCCCATGAGACTGGCCCGTATCTCATATGTAAGGGTACCTTTTCTGTGCTGTAAGGGCATTCAATTCTGAAAAACCTCTGTGGGAGGGTGGGAGAGAGAAAATGTGAAAAACATGAAGTAGGTACTGAGCCTACTAACCTATAGTCAGGATCACACAGTTATCTCTTGAGGGGGTGGCTAAAGAACTAACTCATCAACTGCCATGAAATAGAATACTCATTTCTAATCTGATCTTATCTCCAGAAAGACTATCTCAGGCTTGGATTTTCTTTTCTTTTCTTTCTTTCTTTTTTATTGCAATGTAACATCAGGTATCAGTAAGGCTTGGACTTTCACTGGAAACTAGTCAATAATTCAGGAGCCGTAAGTCTAAACTTTGCCTCTAGTAGTAATCACTTGAGTCATGAGTTATCACACTAGTCATCTCCAACAACACTCCCTGAGGAATGACCTGGACCATGGAAAGCAAACTATCAGGCCACACCTCCTTCAACCACCTCACTCTCCTTCTAAGTTCAGCTCTCTAACTCCTAAGCCAACTCCTCCTCTAAAGTCCTCTACTCCATAGGCAGAGAGCCTGGGTAGTGAAGAGGCAAGCAATGCCTTTCTTCCTTGAGTCTCTCAGACCTCCCTTCATACTGCTCCAGACATGTAGCCTCCATAAGGTCATTCATGCACAGCTTCTTCGGCCCATGCTATCTGAACAAATGGGCTAGCAGACTTTAGGCAGTCTACAGTCATCTCCTCCTGCCCTTTCCACGCAACTACACTGACTCATAATTTTCCAGGGTGATCTTTACCCAACTGGTGTATTCAACTTCAAAATGAATACCAGAAGTAAAGAGCCTTTCAAGCCAGTGCTACCCTGAACCTAAGTCCAAATCTAGAACTTAATCTTAGCCCTTCATATATTTGTCCCACAGTTGCTGCCAAAGGTTATCTCTCCCAAGTTGCTAGTCTCAGAAAACTACTAGGAACAGAATATTTCTATACTGAGTACTCACTATGTACTAGGCACTGTGCTAACCCATTTTTGTTTTCACTACTATTTTTCTGGCACCTTGAACAACCCCTAGCCCATGGTAGGAGCTGAGTAACAAATTATGAATGAATGTAGCCACTGGTATGATCCCATGTGGCCCAGGCAGTTAATCAGAACTAGTAAGTAGTTGGAGCAGGACTAGAATACATGCAGTCTGGCTTCAGGGCCCCAACATAAAACCACTATCCTATTTAATTCTCTGAACAGCAGAATTTTAGTCAAAATAGCAACCCATCCTCTTCTAGGATCACAACCCACGATCCCTCATACCATAGTTTATCTGTCATCCCTAACATGACAAGAAAAAAATGAGCAGATAAAAAACAGGCATGGGCTGGGGATTTAGCTCAGTGGCACTGCACCTGCCTTGCAAGGGCAAGGTTCTGAGTTCAATCCTCAGTACCAAAAAAAAGAGAAAAGGAAAAAAAAAAGCAGGCAGCTAGTCCTGACTGTAACCCTTAGGGGCTGAGAGGCCATATCCCAAGCTGGTACCCTGCATAACTGACTCCTTGGGCAACATCTCAGAATGTGACAGGGAAGAGAGGTGGGGAGGCCTGAGCTTGGGAGGAGAAACATTAGCTCCCAGGGCAGGACAATGGTGGGAGCAGGGAGGGGCCGGCACAGAGATCAAAGGGAGAAGGCTGGAATCAGTACTGAGCCAAGAAAATAGTGTCCCCTGCTGTAAGTACGACTGAGCCAGGAGCACAGTGTACCAGCCACAAAGCGGGTCACTGCCCAGAGAGGGAGGGAAAGAAGAATAGGTCAGCCTTCTGCGTAACCCATTCATCTGATTAACCCAGAGTCAATTCTAGCCAGCAACAATCACTGGGATTCCATGTGCTGGGCACTACAGGACTGGGGGTGGGCAATGGATATACATCAATCCTTCCCTCTTCAGAACAGATCTGAGTCAACACAATGATAAACACGAGTCCTGCCTCTAAGAGTTCACATTTGTGTGCAGGAGGTAGACAAGCGTTTGTTGTTTGGTTTTGTTTATCAAGCAATTTGCTGGGCCGGGGATTTAGCTCAGTGGTTCCGCCACCTGCCCCACAAGCGCAAGAACCTGAGTTCAATCCCTGGTACCAAACAACAACAACAACAACAACAACAACAAGCAATTTGCTATAACAGAGTTATAAACAAAGGGCAATAGGAACCCAGAGAAAAAGAAAGGAATGAATTCAAACTGGGAGTCCTGCAAAAAGCTTTAGAGGGTCAAGGTAAGCTTTGGAAAGTTATTGAGTCTGGTGGAGATGTGTGAGGCACAAAGGTATGAAAAGACAGGTGTATCTCACGGGACATGTGACTAGATGCCTCAGTTCATGTCCCCCAGACTGCAAAGGACTGAGCTTTCTGAATTAAGGTCACGCCCATGGGAATTTCCTTGTGTTTTACAAAGTAACTTTCTCTACTACATAACCGTTTGCCAAAGTTTCCTTGGCTCAAACTAATACTGAAACAATGATGAAGACTTAGAAACTTTCTCTAGGTTTCCTTTTTTAGGTTCTTGGCTACATTTAAACTCCCTTAGTACTTCTTCACTACTGACTTCTAGAACTGTGACTTTTCAATAGCCACAACAGCTATAGTCCCCTCTGGTCTCCAAGATCTATTTTACTCTCCTGTCTCCAATTCACTAGGGCTTTGGCCCTTGTTTACAACCATATAAGAAGCCTCTGGGAAACCAAAGTTACAGAAATCCTATGGGGCATTTTATTTCCCCTTCTTGTCCTTACTGTAGCCTCTTGGTTGACAGGGCCCAAACTCGCCTCTCTTACAGTAACTCCCATCTTTGTCAAGTCTAAAACCGACTCCCAGTGGTACAGAAATTCTAGGACTCCCAGATGATTTTTTGGTATGATCCCACCGGCCACTCTCAACCAGATATATATGTTCTTCCTATTCTCATCCTCTCTCATCCTTTCTTTCCTCCTAGAACTGTTTCAGAAAAGAAACCTTCAGAATCCGTATAAGGCTCAACCATGATACACTGCTCACCCTACGAATATGGATGGGCCTTAGTCTGAGGACAGATTTAACAGAAGGAAAAGAGAAAACAAGCTCACTGGAGCTCTCCAATATTTCCCTGTGAGTGGGTCTTTGGTTCTGACACCAGAACCAGAAGCCAGAACAACTCCAAGGCCATGGCATTGACCACCACAGTACCACAGCTGCCAGGTCAGTCCCTAACACATGACTTCCCTAAGGATAAGAAGCCCTCTCCTCCCTCTTGCAATGTGGCAAACTCTACTGGTCTGGATAGACTTTCCTCCCCAGGGAGCCCAAGTCCCAGTTTAGGGAATCATGGTAATGTTCATTATTAGCTTCTCAAAGGGATAAGAAAGAGCACATTAGAAAGTTCTTCTAAGGTCTCAACTGCCAAAGGGTTTGCCAAACTAAATAGAAAAGAATAGGATAAATGATTTAGGAAGAGGACTGTAATGAGAAAGACTCTTCAAGAAACACAACTCCCTCTCTGCCAACACATTCAAGTTTAAGAAATATTTACTATAGTATTCAGGACTCTGGGATTACAATATATTGAACCAAAGAAATAAAAATGCCTGCCCTGTTGAAGTTTTCATTCTAGGAGGGAGATCAATAACAAACACAACAGCTAACTAAAACTCATACTCTGTCAATGGTGAGAGCATCGTAAGGAAAAATAAATCAGCCAAGGCATTGTGGAATGGGGGCCGGAATGTAATGCAATTTTATTTTATTTTATTTATTTATTTTTTGGTACCGGGGATCAAAC